GTGAACTCGACGAGTTGTTCATCAACTCGGCGAGTCGGATGAGTTTTCATGTGGCGTTCGAATGAGAGAAGAACTCGTCGAGTTGACGGCCCAACTCGACGAGTAGGGTTACGGATGAGGACGAGTAGAGAGTGAGGGACTCGGCGAGTTGACGGCTCAACTCGGCGAATCGGGTCAACTGGAAGTTGACTTTGACTTTGACTTGACTTGGTTGGGGGTAAAATGGTCATTTTACCCTAAGGGTATAGAAATCAGTTTCTAACTGAGTGTTTGTGGAGTTTGTAGCCGGAGGATTTCTGGAGCAGCAGCGGACGGAGGATTCCCGCACAGATTACCAGCAGTTTCTTGTACGAGGTGAGTTACTTTCCAGTAGGGGTGGGTCTAAGGCCACAATGCCGGCCCACCAATGAGGAGTATTTAGAAGATGATTGTCTTTATGATAATAATCTTTGTCTGGTTATGTATTTGGTTATGAGTTATATATGTATGATATGTTACGTGCATGATAGGGATAGTTTCCCTGATAGTGGTCCTTAGGACCAAGGGGTAGGTCAGTACCCGAATATGCCTGACTATATGCTTATGTTTTGTTGATTGTATGCTAGTGGTAGGGGGTGGAATAGTCCCCAGTTATCGGTTGAAAGATACCGATGAATGGTTACCGGTTGAAAGATACCGATGATGATTACCGGTTGAAAGATACCGACGATGACTACTGGTTGAAAGATACCGAGGACTTGTGTGGTATGTGGTATGATGGGGGAACTCACTAAGCTTTGTGCTTACGGTTTCAGTTTTTGGTTTCAGGTACCTCTTCGTCTAAGGGGAAGGAGTCGGCGGCGTAGCATGGCATCACACACACATATGATTTTCCGCACAGAGTTTTCTGGGATTGTACTCTGATATGATATTTGTTTATGTTGTGGGTTTCAAACATGATACTTGGTTTTATGAGATGACGTGTTTATACAATATTTTCTAGTGAATGTTTTATGAGTTAATTAATTAAAAATAAAATTTTTGGGCTTGAATTTTGGGATGTTACACTTAGGATCCCAATTTTTTGGAAGATAATGATTTTTCTATTCAAAAACACCCTATATATACGATTACATTGAAGTTGTTATTCTTAGGATTTTGGATTGTGTCCTACGATTTACTGTGTTTTCTTCAGCGGTCTTCTTCTCCAATTCCTTTTATCAGGTTCCTTCTTTCCTTTGTTCTCCTTCTTCTTCTCCAATTTCTTGCATTTACTGTGTTCTTATTACATGTTATAGGGCTGTAAACGAACCGAACGAACACGAACGAGGCTTGTTCATGTTCATTCGTTTAAGTTAACCGAACAAATGAACGAACACGAACGGTTAAACGAACGAGTTGTGTTCACTTATGTTTGTTTACGAGTCTCTGTATAATCAACGTTATATCCTCTGTTTGCAACATTCCTGAAACTTGTGTAATCGATGTTCTTAATATGTGAGGGTTATCAACTGTAATCATGAATCAAATACAATGGTATATATCAATGAATGGAACTGGTATATTTCTATACACCATAAAAAAATACTCCTCTACATTGAATTTTTGTTGCATGATGAATGAGGGCAGAACAACATCTATGTATACATTCTCTTTACCTGAAATACCTCTATCCCTACCACTGATGCTCCCCTTCTACTACTTGATATGTTTTCTGATGAGCATCAACAAAAACTATTTATACTTACTTTATTGTCAAGTTTGCATTATGAGGTTTTTCAAAAGTATATATATAACATCATTCATATTTGGATGATAAGAATTTTATTTTATTTTTATAATTTTGATTTTGATTACACACAAAAGACTTTCTACATTATATGGTTTAGACTAAATTACATTCGGCGTCCTTGAGTTATGTCAAAAGTTATAAATTTCGTCCCTAAAACTATATTTTCACTCCGATCCTATGATTTTGAATTGTTCTTGTTTTGCCTATTTTACCCGGTCCATATTAATTACTTGGGTGGGTCACATGTGTTTAACAATCATTAGTTTTTTCACAAACAGAAACATGGCTCAAAGCAACATTACCTTCATAGACCAACTTGATGTTTCAAAAAGTCAATTTACCATGTGAGTAAGAATAATCTGTCTCATGAAAAATATTGCTTATGGATCTTCAACAAAGAATTACAAAACTAATATGATTCTCATTGATGAACAGGTAATAACATTTTTTTAATGAATTTTCTTATAAATTCATTAGAACCACATATAACAATATATGAACTGATTTTTTGTGCATTTAGGGAAGGAAGATCAAGACAGAGGTTACTAATAGATAGGTTGAAAGAATTTAAACTTTGTTTCATGAGTATGGTTGTTACTACATCCAAAATCCACAACTTGGTATTAATCAAAACGAAAATAGTTTTGTTAATAATGAAAACAAAATCAATATTTATATCACAACCAAAGTTACACCATGCAGTCAGTGGACTGGATTACTTTATGGATTCTCTTTTTCAAACTTCAACGCCATTTTGGATGGTGTTTTTATTGAGAACACATCTGTTGAGTAGTTTATATGTTACAATCTAACGATCTATATAACAATATTTTGTTATTTACCATCACTCACCATAACGAAACTTTTATACTAATCTTCCATTTTATCTTATATAATAGATGCTATTGGAGATGTTGTGACATGCTTCCGAATGAAAACCCTTATGAACAAGAAAAATAATTTATCAAAGAGAGTTATTTTGAGCTTGGAAGATCTAGAGTATGTTTACTTTTCGAAATTTTGTGTCAAATTTTACTTTATAATGTCATTTTATATTGTATATTTATTATGTTTTTTTGGCTTTTGTAGAAGCAAACAATAAATGTAACACTCTCGGATGGGTATGCACAACAGTTTGCTGACTATTTGGAAAATAAGAAACAAACTCGTATGATAGTTGTTATTCAATGCGGAAAAAATATTTTATTATAGAGGTTTGTTCATACTATGATTAACAACTTACACCTTATAAAAATTTCAAAATATTATTATTCCTTTTACTATAAATGAATATACCTTTATACCAACTTCATTATGCATCGTTTCTCCGTCACAAATTGCTTCATTACGACTAGGATCTTCATCAATGATCCTATTTTAAAGCAAAAAAAATAACATCTTTATTGTTAAGATTTCTTGTCAAATCCAGTCCAGAAAGCACATCTGCTAATTGTAGAAATGCTTCGTCTTCCATCCTCTACTCTGCAAATGACGATTTTCCTTCATAAGTTTGATCTTCAACAAGTAGATGGGGTTTATATACTTAACTTTCATTTATGAAATATACATTATGTCAAATAGTTTTTGGATTATTTGTACCCTCATATTTCATTTTACTTTTTTTTATTATATAATTTAAACTTACATCAATATTTCTCAGAAAAAAACATTGATTGTTGTCGGTACGATTAACCATATGTGTACTCTATAGTTATTTTGTGTCACAACAGTAGGGCAGAAAGAGGTGTTAATGACCATTAAAGATGAAAAGGTAAGCTATAATTTAAGAATATTATATAAAGTGTAAATTGTAGATTTTTTATATTTATTTCAATGAAAAATATGTTGTTTGATTGCTAGGTTACACATCTGAGGGGGGTTTTTTTTTTTTGTAATTTGATTTTGACAAGTTTGATCTAAATTTGATAATTGAAGTAGGTAGCAAAGATATGTGCTAACAATTTTGAATTTGTATTTCCCTCTAGAAACCAACCGTAGTCTCACAGAACGTTCCCTCATATCTCAGTAGGTCTTAGCATTTCCCCAAATTCAGCTATAAGAAGTCATGGATGCACTTCTTGAATCAATCCTCTAAATTGAATTTCATTTGTTAGTTGGATGTTGTGACCAAAATGCAAGATTTGTGAAAGTTCATTATTATTTATTAGTGTTAACCTTTGGCAAATTATGAAACTAATGATATATTTTTGTTCATAACATATATATATATATATATATATATATATATATATATATATATATATATATATATATTATATATATTAATAATTTCTTTGATCGAAAGATATGTATATGTGATAGGGTGTAGCCTGAAAAATCATATTTTAATTCTTATAAGGAAAAAATACTTTAGAAATTGACCAAATTACAATGTCTGAATTTGATGTTTATGGTTATAGCAATGCACTTTAATTATAATGTTTATCGAATTTCTTTGTAGAATTTAACGTTGCTGGTACATATAACAACTTATTGTTGCTTTTGGTTTTACATTGCCAATATGAAAAGAGCCATATGACCCTCATAGAGGTTGGTACACCGAACAATCAATTCATAAGGCTACTATACAACATGTTTTAATTAATGAGTCGCATCATGTTGTGATAAAACAAAGATCATGTGGATCATTTATATTAGAAATTATTGTATTAAAAAATCAAATTGCTCTGATATAAATATTAAATATTTTTATTTAACAAGTTTGGTTCAAAAACTCTAAAATGAATCTAACATTTTTTATTAAAATTACACCTAAGACAATACCACCTATTAGTATGATATGTATTTAATTTATGTTTCTCACGTTTAACGCGTACCATAAACTAGTTAAATATTAAACCAAAATGTTCAAAATTTCAAAAGTTCATAGTATTTCAATGTTCAACTAATATATTAAAAAATTTTAAAAAATTAAAATTTAAAGTTTTTCTTCAAAATTTTCAAAATTTCTATATTTTCAAATATACAAATACCCAAATTTATTTCTTTTCTTAATATATATTAAAACTTGAATAACTTTTCTTATTAATTGGATGATAAATTGTTGTGCTTGTTAAACTTATTATTAAACTTTTATGCTTCTTTATTTATATTCTTCCGATTAAAGTTAGATTTATAAATTTTTGAATAATTTTCCTAATAATTAATGGTCCCCGATTAATCCCCGCTTACCCGATTAATCCCTAGACCCAGTCCACCGACTAGCTAACGTCTAACGTTTTCTGCAACCTTGATTATTGGTAAAGAAACATAACTACATTGTTATTGTCCGTAATTTTCCATACATATTATATTAAGAGTAATATAGTTTTTCTAATTAAACAAATAACAACATAATCAAATTCCTTCCCCCCCTCTCCTCGATATGAATTCCGTCGCTCTGGCAACCAAACACACCATGGAATGGAATTTCGGATTCCAATTTTCCGTACTTAACCAAACACGCGATGGAATGGAATCTCGGATTCCAATTTTCCATACTTGTTAAGATTCACGGGGTCCATCAAAAGATTGAGTTCTTCTCAAATTCCAATGAAGACCATCATGGATGCTATGCAAGAAATCACTGGTGGAATCGCCTCTACACGCGGTGGGAACTGGCCACGCCGCCATGCTACACACCAGCGCGTCTCCCGGAGCCAATTGTTTCCTGTCCTTACCGTCAAAGGACGCCCATGCATGGCCTCGGCTGTTTAAAGGTACTTGAATCCTAAGTGTTACATGTTCGGGTAGTATTAGAGGTCGGAATGATAACGAGTGTGGACAAATCGGTGTGAATAGAATCCCTGGAACCTGTATAAACATAAGGGTAAAATCGTCATTTCATAAAAATAAAAAATGTCTTGCGTTTAAAAACGTACTTGTGGATGGACCATTGAGCCACCGGCTGCAAGGGAGTATGCGGTGCTTCCGGATGTTGTTGATAAGATCAAGCCGTCTCCTTGAACCGTTGTGACAAAGGAGTTATCAGAGTAACATTCAAGATTTGTAAGGAAGGAGGAAATCCCACGATCAATTGTCACCTCATTTAGCACAAGTATCGGCCCTTCATTTTCATTTTCATTTTCACTTCCTTCTCGAATCACATGGCACTGTAAACGGTGTCGTAGTGTGATGCTGATTGGACCTTCTAGTATTGATTTTAGGCATTCTTTGTAGCGTTCACTATCTAATTATGGTTAAAGTTAAAGATCACTTACTTACTTATCATCGCATGCTAAGGGCATTTACTTCTTTTGCACACACAAGGGGAATCGAGACGGAAGGGACTCCTAGTACTTCCTTTCTTGGAGGGCATTTAAGTCTTTTTCCACAGATTTTGGGTAGGACAATAAACTATTCATATTAGTCTCACTCCAAGATGAGGGCATTCACGTCTTTTGTACATTTGATAAATCACATGTTACATTCTCTTGGATGGGACAAAAAAATTGTTTTTTTTGTCCTATTAGTACCCGTCTGAGTCCTTTCTAGGGTTATTTTGAGTGACGAGGATGAAAAGGGCATTCACATCTTTTTGCATAGACGAGAATCAAGTTCCACCAATTTTTATACTTTTGACATTGGTCCCGGTCTACAAGGCCGTCATTCTTTCTTGAATTATTTTGGGTTATGAGAATGAGGAGGGGTATTCACGTCTTTTGCACAACATTTCCACCTTTTTGGGTGTGACAAAGATTGCAATTTTTGTCCCATTGACAACAGTTCGAGTAGTACAGATGTCATTTTTATTTTATAGGGCTATTTTTGGTGATGAGGATGAGAAGGGCATTCACGTCTTTTTGCACAAACAAGAGATAGAGAAGAACTGTGAACAGAAAAGGATACAAAATGGAGTCATGAAACCCAAGGAACCCAAAGAAAATGGAACAATTGGAGGAACAGGTCCTTTGAACTTTGATGCAGCCTACAAAAAAAAGGTAAAGATACTGAACAAACTCATCCACATTTAGGGTTCCAAACAACATAACTTACTAAAAATAAAATAAAAATTAAAAAAATATTCTAATAATATGATTCATTTCATTCCAAAAGTAATATTATAATAATAATATACCCAAAGCACTGTCCCATCTCCTCCAAGAGTTACTACAAGATCAACTACCTCATGCAAATGCCACATCTCCTTATCTGTAAAGTCATAACACAAAATAAAATTTCCCAATTATTTCAACCTTCAAAATAAAATTTATGAATCTATAAAATATAGATGAAATTGACTCACCATCTATCCATGATTGTGCAAAGTTGAAGTATGAGGATTCTTCTAGAAGTTCATTTCTTACTCGTGGTTCAACAAATATATTCATACTTCTCTTTTCCTTCAACCAACTGGAAATTCAAATGATCACCAAATATATTCATACTTCTCTTGTTACATACTTTAACAGAAGTCTTTGACTAATAACCATATGCCAAAAATACCCTTTAAGAAGACAATTGAAGTCATAATAATACCTGACCATTTCTGCACAAAGGATTTTGACTGAAGTTGAATTTGGTTTTGTCAAGATAAGCACAGTCTGAGGAGGAGTTTCCCACTTCAAAGAAATCTGAATTATAAAATGTAAACAATATAATGCATTTCATCATATTCCTTATGAAAATACAAACAAAGACTAATATAGTATTAGGGTAAAATGCAAGAAATACATAAACATATTTTCATAATTAAATTAAAATATACCTGTTTACTGCTACGTTCTGCTGTGGTTATATTTCCCTTCTCAAAGGAGACAATGTCATGTTTATGCTGATCATCTTTTTTACTTTTGCTACACCATTTTAGTTTAAATGATGCCTGAATATGAAAAGACATTATTAATAGATTAAAAATAGAAATGATGAATAAAATGAATGTTGCAGGAAATTGAGGGAACTGGTTATTGAACACTAATTCTGAAAAGAGGGGTAAAATGGTCATTTACGGTCATTCAGATGGGTTCATTCCGGACAAAAAAGGAACAACTTTTTTTCATTTTTACTACTTACTTCATACAGACCTCATTTATCGCAACAAATGCATCATAAAACCAATATGAGTCGAGTCTTGATTATGGTGTATCATTAGATAAGTTAAGTGCCTAAGTTAGGTAACTAATGAGACATAAAACTGATGAAATGACTAAAATGCCCTTATAGTAAGCATCAGAAGAAGATTAAGTATGACTTTTCTCATTCGACCAGGATCAATACTAGAACATTGATCAAAAACTTAAAGTCATATTTTCAAAGCCTACTTAAGAGCTAACAACTCCCTAAAATCTAGGGTTTCTTTCAGTTTATTTGTTGAAATGACTAAAATGCCCTTATAGTACCTTACGAGTAATTTTGCTGTGAATATTAGGGTAAGAGTCGGGTCCCCTGTCCCTAAGAACCTCATGAGAGCAAATCCCATTTTCCCCACAACACCTTTGAGATTTTTCACCAGTTTCAGGCTCAATTGCAAGGTGCTCAATGGAGTCTGAGCCTCCTACTTTTTGCTCAAAGTTTCCTGGATTCTCAGCAAATGTTGGACCTAAAATGAAAGAAAAAAATGGTTTTGTGAATATATATTTCGATTACTAAGAAAATAATGAGTCAAAAAAACTATAGGTGTTCCAAATAAGATGCTAGTAAAGCTTTGCCATAATGGTAAGATGTCATGATATACAGAGTGAATGCAAAATTCAATAAGATGCACATAATAATATGTTTAAAATAGTGTTGTTGACTTTTTTTCATGGATATTCTTATGATCTTATAAGAGTTCCAAATAAGATACTATTAAAGCTTTGCCACAATGATATAAGATGTCGTGACATACAGAGCAAATTTCAAGATTCAATAAAATGCACATAATTATATGTTTTAGGGTAAATTATAAAAAAATGGTCCCTGAGCTTTCTGATTTTACCATTTTTAGATCAAAATTGAAACATTTTTCAACTTTGGTTCTTGTTTCAAGGTTTCACATCGATCTTGGAACCTTGTTTTTAAGGACCCAAATGAAAAAGGTTTCAACTTTGGACTAAACATGGTAAAAACCAGAAAGCACAGGGACCATTTTTGTAATTTACTCTATGATCTGTTTGGCAAAGGCCAAATTTTATATCTACCCTTTTTTCACGGATATTTTTACAAAGCGGATTAAAAAACCTATCCAATTATAGCAATGTCATCCCATAACTAAATAAAGAAAGCAAGATGTCATAATAAACAAATAAATGAAATCAAGTTGCTATTTTTTTGGATTTAATTAACCCTATCTATTTTGAATGTTAGGCATTAGTGAATTTCAAAGTGGTGCTTATGTGTCACACCTTTTTGTTCCAATTGAAGATTCTTTTCTCTTTCCAATTCATATTTGTGTTTCCATTCTGTAGCCTCAGCTTGAGCAGCAGCTTTAGCTTCTGCTGCTTCTCTTAAAACCTTGCCAACAGCTTATGAATGACATAAACCACAAGGATCAGACACGAACCTTATTCTTTACAAAAGCATCCTACTTTTATTTCACCTAAATGAAAGCAATCATACTTCTCATGGCTTCTGAAAACTCCACAAGCTGATCTTCAATCCCATCAACAAGTGGAAGTGGCTGCTCAACAATTTCTTTTATAGCTTTCTCTAAGTTTCCAAGAGGAAGGAAATCGTTTACACCATTCTCTTGTGCAAGATTATGTGCATTCGCCTATTCAAAATTGAATGAAATTTTGGAAGATAGTAAGTGGAAAAGAAGGAGAAGGACTCTACAAAAGTTAAAAGGCAACAAATAGCAGCATAATTTCAGTTATTTATTTAGTATAGCATGCTACTTCTATTTCTTCCAATTGTAGCATTGTATTTGAAAAATCTACCCGATTATAACAATGTCATCCAAATACAAAGCAACTTTTATTGTTATAATTAACTGGAATTTTCAAAGTATGGTGTCCTAGTAAGAAAATTTTGGAAATACAATGTTGTAATTGGGTTACTTTTTAAATGTACGATGTCTTCATAAGAAGAAAATTGGAAGCACAATGTTGTGATAGAAAGAAATGAAAGTTAAGATGAAATCAAAACAAATAAAAGAAAGCATGTTATTGTTTCTTGCATTTAGCCTTTAGTAAAATACACCCAATTTTAATGCTTCGAACTCTCAAGATACCCACTTTATTGCTTCAAATAAAACAAATACAAGTGGTTCATATAAGTGAAACTCCCAAGATTCCCATTTTATTGCTACAAACCCCATAGATCATTAATTGAATAGATCACCTCCAATTCAATAATGAAAAAATAGGAGAATCTTGTGGATCACAATCAATATCATCATCATGATATAATGACAAAATGGGCGAGTAAGTAATCATAGCTTGTATATTTTCAAAGAGAAATTAAAATGTTGTAATCTTCAGGAAACATCCCAAACGGAAATTGTTGAAACTGTTTGTAACTTTGTCCTAAAAGGCTAAAATGCTATTTGCAAATTACTTCTTCCATCTCCGTTATTATTATCATTATTACTTACTTCAATGTTGCATATGAATCTAATATGTGGAATAAGAAGTAATATACTAATATCTTCCTCGTTATTAAGGCTGATTTGTTTTTAGGATAAAGATTGTATCTTCAAATAAGTTAGGATAGTGTATTCATGTAGATGAGGAACTTAGTGATCATATTTTTCTGATTTCATGTATGGCAGTGTACATATTTAGTATGTAAATTTGGAGAATGCTTAATAGAAATTTGAAATAAATATTAAGCTCATAAAACAAAACATAGGTGGGGTAATCTTGATGTCATTGTATGTTATACTGCCCTTAAAACTAGTATGGCAGGAATTGGATTTGTTTTATGTAGCTCAACAGGAAGAATTGATAATCAAAAGTTATATACAAGATACTACCTTCATAGGAACCTAGATAAAAGAAACTCAATATCTAATGTCTCATTTATGTAAAATCTTAGTGGATGGCATTGTTCCTACATTATTTTAATCAACAAAATGAACAGTTCTTGATCATCCTCAAGTTAGAAGCAATGTTGACAAATAATCATTTTATCTTGTTCCAAATATCAAGTACAAAAGATAACCATCACATGATATTCGAGTCCAAGAATAAACTTCAAAAAACAACAAACATCTATAGTAGGCAGCTCTGAACAATCCTAATCAGAATAAAAGCAGAAAACACATAACCCTAACTAACAAATCACCAATATATCAATCAGAAATGATTCAAGTTGAAATCGTCTGATTTAACACCAAAATTGAAGAAAGATAGATACATCGTAGACAAAACCTGTACTGTAGAGTTAACATTCGAACGCTTCATGGCTGTTTGATCGAGAGAGAATTGCGACCGAAAGTGGTATAGTTAGAGTGCCTTTCTCGGAGATTCGAGAGAACCCAGTCGCGATTTACATTGAATGGAGTTAATAGAAGTGTTATTCGGATTTCTCAATCAGCTCAACTTTTTTAAAGCAACATTGTAATTGTTCACGTAATCACGTGGGTGGTTGTGGGTCAAGAGACGGAAAAGTTGTTTGGAACCGAGATGGGGCAAGTTGATTTCTCGGGTTCTAAATTAAACACAAAATTTCAATTTACGAAAAGATAATTTCCAATGAAGTACAACAATAGGTTGAATCAAAACTAGGTTGTTTGATAGTTGTTGGTTGTTCTCTGACAAAGTACTATTTGGAAAGTGTTGTACTATAAAAATTTTGATTGAAAAAACATTTGACTTTGCTGAATGATGAAAAATGATCATATTATCTTGTTATTTTATATTGTAATCAATAAAGTTGATGAATAATGAATAATTATAAAAACATACAAATTATCATACAAAAACAAAATTACACGATAATCACTAAAAAATCCAAATACAAATTGTCATACAAAATAATTAAACATAAATCGATTAAAATCCAAATATAATGTTGATTACGTTGTTTTTAGTTTTTTGTTATCAAGTTGATGTTATGTTGTTATTCTTTCTATCCATTTTAATTTATTTATAATCCAATATGTGATTCTTGACCCGGTTTATGTGTGATAGTGGTGGGATAAATGTGATTTTTTTATAATAAATTATGATGATGGTGGTCTTGTCCCAAAAAAAATATGAATTAATCCAATAAAAATGAATTTAAAAAATTAACTAAAAAAATTAATAATCCAATAAATTAGTATTTATTGATATATAAATATTATATATTATATATAATATTTATTAATATATAATAATCCAATAAAAGAGAATTAAAAAAAGAATTATTTAAAAGAAATTAATAATCCAATAAAATAATATTTATTAATACATAAAAATTATATATTAAAAATAAAATTTATTAATATATAATAAGCCATTAAAAAATAATAATCCAATAAAAAAGAAATTAAAAAAATGATTTAAAATAAACTAATAATCCAAAAAAAGAGGTAAGGTTTGGAGCATAATTGTCTTTTCAACCCATTCAATCAGAAAGATATGGTATTCGAGTGAGGGGAATGCTCCCGACATTTTCTTTCCTTCTGTTATTCGTTATTTTTTTACTAGCTTTCCAACGCTTAGATTTTTTACAAAAAATTACTTTTTTTAATTTAACAACGGCTACCACACACACACACACACACACACACACACATATATATATATATATATATATATATATATATATATATATATATATATATATATATATATATGAGTAGGATCAAATGAGAACACCAAAAATGTTGAGAACGCGAGAACAGTTCTTCACCAACCAATTTATAAGGTAAATCAGTAATTTATATTTAATTGATCCCTGAATATCAGGTATGTGACCCACTTGTTTCACCTTTCTCTCTCCCCTATGTATACGTTTTCCCTCTCTGTTTCTTTAACCTAGCCGCCAACACAAAGGGAGAATGCATTCTACAGCCTTCATCATCTTCTACCTAATTCATCAGGTCAAGCAACAAAGTCATCTTCAAGCAATTGTACATCACTGTGATCATCTTCCTCACAACCGAACACCATGGAACCCAAATCTATACAACTCTTTTCTCTTATTCTTTCTTGAATACACCATTCCTCTTATCCCCTCTGGATCCGAAATAAACCCGAGAGGTCTATAGAATCCCAAAACTCAGAGCAATGTTAGTGATTCCCTTTTGAAGTAGCTCCTCCACCACTCTCTCTCAATCACCGCCTTCCCCAACCCAATCCCCTGAAAATTCGGATCCACCACCACATCCCAAATAATAGCATTGAATACGCCGTCGCCGGTAGCCCTAGCAAACGCCACCGGTCTCTTCGTCTTCTCATACTCCACCCACAACAACGAATCTGTATGCTCCAGCGCCACTTTTATCTTGTCGGTGTCACGTTTTGGGAAACCGACGACGACGAAAATGGAGTTTAAGTGGTCGAGGTTCAGGTCGTTGATTGTGCGACGGAAGATGAAACCCCGTGATTCCAGTTCTTGGTCGGAGATGGCATAACCGGAGGACGATGAAACCGCCGTGAAGGACAATTTGCGAGGGTGGTGGGTGATCGGAGGTCGGAGGCGGAGGGGTGATCGGAATGGAAGGGAAATTTTCCCCTGAAGATTATAGCTAAATTCATATGATTATTGTTTTGTATTCATATGATTATAGCTAAATTCATTTGTGATGGAATTGTATTCATTAATGACTAGAGTTGTTTCTCTCTTTGTTGAATAGATGAGAATGTTAATTATTTTTCAGATGTAGTTTAATCATTTGTGATAAAATCTATATTTATTTGTGATTAAAGCTATACTCATCTGTGAATAAAAATGTAGTCATTTGTGATTAAAGTTTTCATTTTGTGAGAATATGACGAATTCTTAGAAAAATTTTATTTCGAGTTGATGAAAAAAGACATTGGATTTCGTAAGGTTTTTTATTTGTAAATAAAAATGTATTAATTTATGATTGTAATTGTAGTTTATTTTTTAAGTAAATAACTTTGGTTTTTTTTTGTTGAAAAAAAAAACTAATAAAAACCTGTTTACGTATTCTAATAACTTAAAAAGAAAAAAAATCAATTATTATTTTTATTATTTTTTTTGCTTTTTTAGGTAAATACGATGATTGCTAGATTTTAGGAGATTAGGATTTAATATTAATATTTTAAAATTTAATCTAAATACAAAAGTATTAATTTGTCTTATAAAATGATTGGTTCATAAGCGTTCTCATGTCCTCAACCTTTTTGGTGTTCTTATTTGATCCTTTCCCTATATATATATATATATATATATATATATATATATATATATATATATATATATATATATATATGTTTTTTTACCACTTTACACGACTATAAATTCCTCACTATTTTCAACTTCAATATCACACATTTTTCTATCAGTTTCTCTCTATTCTCTTAAAAAAATGAATCCCAACAATCTAACCCCAAACTCCGATAGAAGAAAAAAAACCAATGTTTCAAGTTTAAGCACCACAACTCGAAACATTTTCGTCATCGATCCATCTCAACGGGTTTATCATCTCCAACTTGATGCCCTCATTCAATCTCCTCCACAATTCCAATACCAAAAGGGCAATACTACCCCATGCAAGTGCCAAATGTTACTCCAAATATGTTCACAAGCTTTGTCGTTTTTCCCGATCAACTTTCACCAAATCAACCCCAAAGCCAAAACCCACTCCGTCAATCTCAAATCCAAAGCCAAACACCATCCTTTCACTCTCAACCACAATACCAAAGCCTCGAAGAGTCGGAGGACAAAATTTCACAGGAAACTCAACCCACACCACCCTCACCATGCTGTAGAGGAAAACAACTGGTGCAAGAGACTACAAGACAGAAGCCACCATTATGGATTCCCCAAGAAGAGCTAGTGTTGATAAAAGCTTGGGTTGACATTTCAGAGGATTCAACAAAGGGAAACACACAAAATGCACAAATGGGAGATCATTTTTGGATTCACATTCTTGAGAGATTTCGCAAGGAGTTGGTTAAAGAAGATGAAGAGTATCATACTAAACACCAACTGAATTCAAAGTTTCGAGAAATAGCGAAAGTCGTCTAAAACTGAACGAGTTGTATAACAACCTAAAAACTCAAAGGAAGAGCGGTCAAGGAGATGAAGAAATTTTTTAAGAGGCTTTGCATTTATTCGCGAGGGAACGGGAAAAGCATTCAAGTCGCACGACTGTTGGAAATTGTTAGTTCTTAGCCCAAGGTGGAAAAAATACGAACAAGATTTTATACGACGAGAAGAAGGCCAATTAAAAAGAACAAAAACGGGCTCTAGTAGATACACAACTTCTTCTGATCCTCGTGTCGAGCTAGATTTAAACGACGAGGACAAACTGGAGCTAGAAGAAATTGTCTGACCAATGGGTAGGGACAAAGCAAAACAAAAGAGGAAGGGGACTTCTTCCAGTGCATCGGATTTCAGCATGGACGCGGACGAAATGCAGAAAATTACGGCGACATTTGATCGATACAATCTGAACTTTGCTGAACGTTTGGCATTCGACAAAGAAAAGAAGCCGAAAAAAAGGAACGGGCGAAAAAGGCAAGATATGGAGGATATGAAGTTATTGATGGAAAACATTGATCGTCTTTCAGGACCGGCTTTCGAGCTAGTTTTGAAGAAGAAATAGAAGATCATGAAAAAATATTTCTCGTAGATCGTTTTTTTAATCTAGGTTATGTTTTCTTAAATCTTGGTTGTTTTCAAGGTTTTTTTTATTCTTAGTTTGTTTTTATGTAATCTTTATTTTAACTAATGAAGTATTTTTTTAACTAATTTTTGTGTTTATTAATCATTTTTTTAAAAAAATATATTTATTTTTTGAATTATAAATCTTAAAAATCAATTATTTTTATTTAAAAAAAATGAAAGGTAGTGAAAGATGATTGTTTCCTGCCTTTTTGGTGAGGGAAAAAAGAGTGAGGGAAAGCTGATGTGGCAATCAAAAAGTCAAAGATGCTTCGCATACATACCCTGTGGTCTTAGGTGTTGTTTATTTTTTCGAAGCGAAAATTGATGAAGTGTGACATCCTCAAATTTTCAGAACCAATTAATACTTTTCTTTACGCTTGCATTATCATTGATGCGGAATTTCCCAGTACATTTAAAACTTTTTAAGTACACGTGATTGTCTCAATATAATAAAACCCTAAGGATGTCATAATTGATACAGAAACATAAGTTACATTGTAAAAACCTATGATCTTGAACTCTATTGCAGGTTGTCTCTTAATCACTTAGCTTCCTAATCAAGTTATCTCTTCCTAGACTATCGTGCATCATAACTCTTAGGCATAATATCATAGCTTACAACTAGGCATAGTATCTATAGCTACATTATCCTAAGGCTTTAAGCTTTATAAAAGGTACTCACTCTAGTAATGTATTCCGAAGCATCTAAGCCATTGCACCCAAAGCTTTGTGTCATTGAGAAGACTTCCGAAACAACTTGAGAGGTATAGAGAGAGTGTTTGGGATGAGAAAATCAGAAACCGGGCACCTCTATTTATAGTAGTTGTGCACGAGGCACACTTCATGTGCGA